TAACGGAGCTTTGACCAGAATCCTGTAGCATCTGGATGCTCCCACATATTTATTCATTGAACAAATACTTCCTAAGTTTCTGCCACTCTCTTTCCTAGGTGTTAGGTACACAGCTGTGAACAAAGCAGACAATAATCCCTGTCCCCATTGAGCTTATGTTCTATCCAGGGAGATCATAAACATAATAAGTAAATTTTCAGTATATTGGAAGGGGATGTACTGTGGGAAGAATTGGAACAGGTAATAGAGAGGGACAGGGTACTGAAATTTAAAGGAGGTTAGTTGGAGTATAATTCTATTTTGTTTTCTGCTGTGCTGGGGATGGAACCCATGGCCCTGAGTATGCTCTCGGCAAGTTCTCTTCTACTGACCTACACCTTCCAGTCATTTAATGGAAGTACCTTCCAAGAGGAAAAAACAGTTAATATAAACACCCTAAGACATATTGTATTTGCCTTCAGGAACAGTACAGAGTCCAGTGTGGCTGAAGCAAAGATTGGGACAGGGAGATAGTCTAAGAGCAAAATAGCAGGAGTCAGAGAGGTACTGAGGACAGAAACCCTAAGGGCCTACAGGGCTCTGTTAAAAGCTTCCCTTTCACTCCTGGAGAGAAGGAGGAAAGAAAACCTTGAGGCAATCAAGCCTCTTGAGGAGGGGGAAACTAAGATTTTTGTTGTCTGTTATCAAGAAGAATTAGGGTTTAAAATAGAGATTTCTGAGTTACAGAAAGTAAAAGCAATATTTTTGAAGTGTTGAATTTGAAGTTTGTGAAATTCTATTACATTAAGTAGTATTTTACTTTATTTTGCAAAATGCTTAGGAGAGAAGTGAAAACTTTCCCCCTGAAAAACCCATGCATGGCTTTGACAGGCACTTTTAATAATTACAGCATTCACCAAATTGCTTTTTGACGTTGTTGCGGTTTGGAAGTTTTTGGTTTCATTTTGTTTGCAATTTCATAAATTTAACACCACTTTGGAAGGCTGACACAAACACTTAATAAAAATCATTTTTTTTCTTTTCCTCATCTACTTTTGTAAAGTTCCACAGTTTGAAATACACACCAAACAAGTAAAATGTATATTTGAGTTATTTTGTAACAAACTAACACAGATATGTATCATGAGAAAAATATTCTTATGTGGCTGCCTATCTACCACTGGGTTGGAATGGAACCACCATTTGACCCAGTTACCCCACTCTTTGGCATATACCCAAAGAACTTAAAATCAGTATACTCACATCAATGTTTGTAGGAGTTCAACTCATGTTACCTATGGTATGGAACCAACCTAAATGCCCTTCAACAGATGAATGAATRAAGAAAATGTGATACCTATACACAATGGAATATTACTCAGCCTTAAAGACAAATAAAATTATGGCATTTGCTGGCAAATGGATGGAACTATCTTGCTAAATAAGCCAATCCCAAAAACCAAAGGTCCAATGTTCTCTCCGATATGTGGATGCTAATTCGTAGTAAACGAGGTACGGGGTGGGGGGTGGACAGGAAGAATAGAAGTTCACTGGATTAGATAAATAGGAATGAAGGGATGGGGGGTAACAGGAAAGACAGTAGAATGAACTGGACATAACTTACCTATGTTCATTTATGCATACACACACAACCAGTGTGACTCCATATCATGTACAGCCACAAAAATGGGAAATTATACTCCATGTACGTATAATATGTCAAAATACATTCTACTGTCATGTATAACTGAAAAGAATAAAAATATTTTTAAAAACCCTCCTTCAAACAGGTTTAATATAAAGAAGAATTAATGTCCCACTTATCTGAAATATTCAAAGTAGGGTAAATGAACTAGTAGCTCAGCAACATCACCAATAACCTAATTTTTTCCTGTATTTCTGAACTGCCTATCTCAGTGCCAGTCTCACTAAAGGATGATTGTTCATGTTCCTAAAACTGCCCCCCAAATTTCTTCCTAACTAGTATCAGGGGAAAAGAGAACATATTTGCTCTAGCATTTTGACAAAAAATACTAACATTCACTCTAATTGTAACAGCTCAGGCCATGAAGCTGCTCCAGATTCAAATGCTGTTACCAGGGACTGGCTTAGATACGGCCATAGGTGCCAATCCCACATCCAGGTTGGACTGATCCTCCTTAGAATCAACCCAGACAGAAAACAGAACCATAGGTAATGAGAAAAGAGAAATTACACTGCAAAGGTATAAAATCTAACAAAGAAAAGAAAACAGATGTATTCTCCCTTTGGTTAGGTTTTTGGCACCAGACTATACCTATTTTGTTTCAAGAATGTTCAAAGCACTGCTGTTTAAAATAGCAAAACAAACAAACAAACAAAAAATGGAAGTAACTTCAGTGTTCAACAATAAGAAGTTAAATAATTCACTGTATACACATATAATAAAATATTATATCAATAGTTTTCAACCTCTGAGATCAAAAGTATCCCTTTTAAAAAAGATTTTAAATTTATTGAGGATCCCAAAGAGTCTTTGTTAATGTGGTTTATAGCTATCATTACCATTTAAGAAGTCAAACATAGGAAGATTTAAAAATATTTATTAATTTGTTTAAAAATATTAAATCATTACATGCTAAGATAAATATATAATTTTTTTAAAAAATCGTATTTTTTTTAAATTTTTTATTATTGATTGTTCCAAACATTACAGAGCTCTTGATAAATCATCTTTCATACATTTGACTCWATTGGGTTTTGAACTCCCATTTCTACCCCAAATACAGATAGCAGAATCACATCTGTTACATACTCACATTTTTACATAATGGCATATTAGTGACTGTCTTGATCTGCTACCTTTCCTAACTGCTACTATCCCCCCTCCCCTCCCCTCCCACCTTCCCTCTCTGCCTCCTCTGCTGTTGTTCAATTCTCTCCCTTTTTCCCCCCTCCCCCCTGCCCATCATAACCTCTTATACTTTTGTGTATCATTGAAGGTCTCCTACAATTTGCATATCCTTTCCCTTCTCTCTCCCTTTCTCTCCCCCCATTCGTCTTTGTTTACAGTTAGTCTTTTCCTCATGCTCTTCCTTCCTGTTTTGTTCTTTTTAAAAAAATAGTATTTTTTTAAAAAATAGTGACAAGAATGGCATTGTTTCATTTTTGGAAATCTTATGACATAGTTTAACAGAAGCGGCTGGATTCTCAGATCTGTTTCTGCATTTAATCTATTTTGACATGCTGTTCTGGCAAATTGAACTTGACACAAGTATACAGTTGGAAAACAGAGAAATTTTACTAGCTTTTTCAGATAATGGTAGACAGTTTTGAAATTATACCAAAACTGAATAAGTTATAGTTTAAGATAGTTGTAGTTTAAGATACCTGAGATCCAACAGATCTTTTATCCATGCATGATTATGTAACACCATGAATTAACCATCCAGAAAATACTGATTCATTGAGCTATGCAAATCTTCTAAACATATACAAAGTCTTTAATATCAAGAGTCATATTTTAAAATTATTATCTATCTCATTAGATAAATCTTTAAGTTAAGGCAAGTGGCAAGTTTTTGGTAAAGGATATAAGTTTTCCAAAATTATAAATTTTACTAGAAATTTCAAATATTGTCACTGGTGAAGTGAGAAGCTGACATCATTTCTCATTTCATCTTGAGAAATTGTTGCTGAATAACCAAGTTTTCTGTCTGTCTTTTTTTTTTTTTTTTGGTGAAAATTATATACCATGAAACAAAGTAGCCAATTCAATTCACAACTCAAATAATCAAACAAAATCAAATTTCTAGAGATGATCATCACACTTTGGCATGCAGCAAGAATGTTTTATGTGTAGTTGACATTTCATCACATAGAACGCAAATGCATGGAAATGTACAAGAAATATCTAGAAAACTATGTATGACATATTTAATAGGTGTTCCCTTCTGGCATTGGGATGTGATAAAATGACAACACAGGGAACTTTTACTTTTTATTTATAGTTTGAGTGTTTTACAATTAAAATTCTTTTATGTATAATTATATATAACCAATTAAGGAAACAAGTAAATATGAGAAGGTCTAGCAAGATACACAAAGGGAGATAACTATGATTTCCTATCAGTAGAACTAAGAGTGATTTTTATTATCTTCTTTTTTCTACTTTCTGGACTTTGGTAATTCTTCTATAATAAACAAATATTTCTTCTTTATTAACAATGGTTATTTTTATTAACAAAAAAGTCAATCAGCCTGGTTTAATGGTGCACACCTGTAACCCCTGCTCTCAGGAGACTGAAAAAGAAGGATTGCAGATTGAAGGCCAGTCTAGGCAACTTAGTGAGACCTCATTTCAAAATAAAAAATAAAAAGGGCTAGGGATAGAGCTCAATGGTAGAATGCCCCCTAGGTTCAATTCCTAGTACTGTGGGGATGGGAGGCAATCAAGGTTCTGGAATGCATTTATAAATTATATGATGAACTGCTTAAAGATATATAATCATGGTTTACCAAACTTTGTCAGAGTTTGAGCTTCAGATATTTATTTGTACTATATAAGAGACATTAGAATCAAATGCTGACATTCTCATATAAAAAGGTATTTGGAGTAATTAAGTAAATGAAAGTTATATATGTATATATCTTTATAATATTTAACATGAAGGACATTGTTTTATTATTTGAAAAATATCGGAAACTAGAAAATACAAAGTGCAATAGCTGCCTAATACAAATGGAATTCTTTTAACTTTCTTTTTCCCCACTTACATGTTTTCCAAAATACTGTTTCATTTTCACTGGTCTGGTCAACTAATACCATCTACAATGCACACACAAAAGCTTCTTTGGAAGACAGTAAGACAATTTGTGAAATAATTATGCTTCCTTACACTTGCAAGACAGACTTTTTGTAAAATAAAAAGATTTTATATCACATAATCACTATACAACTATTAATCTGTTATATATATAAAATCATCACATTACAATTTACAAATATATTATTATTAAAAAATTAAAAAACAAGACACATTTCCAAAATCAATCTGAAAGAAAATTTAATATTCTATTTTATGATATATTCACTTAGATTGAGAGAAGACTGAAATACTTTATCTGAACTGTGAAAATTTAAGATGCCAGTCCTTCAATATACAGGTGAGTTTTACTTTGGGATTAGAATAATTTTTTAGCTAAACTATTACTCCTAACCCTTTTCAAAAATAAAATATAGCTCTCTCCTCTTATAAAACAGTAAGACACACAAGGTCATTCTAGTAATTGCCAACTTAACTAAAAAGACCTTTCTTTATTGTTTTGGTCATTGATTTGTTGCTGGTGGCAGATGATGTTTCACTTCTTTTGGCAAACCATTCAGGTAATTTTCTTTTTGAGGCTTCTGATGATGCAGGCTATAGGAAACAGAAAGAAAGAAAATACAAAAAAAAAAAAAAAGATCTCTATTACTGAAAATATATAGCATTTGCAAAAAAGTAACACAGGTTCCTGGATATACAACCACCTTTCCTCCCCACACAAAATCAACCAAACCAAATAGTGACATCCATAGAATTTATTTATGGGTCAAAAAGTTAATTAAAAAAAGAAATCATTATCATTTCTTTAGGCAATTACTTGCTATCCCGTCATCTGTTCTTAGACACTCAAGTCTAGGCACTAATTTAGTAAAGGAAGATTTTGGACATTATTTTAATCCCATGGTGAATCTGCTTTGGGTTAACCAAAATGGTGAATTTTTAATTTTCTGAGAAAGGTATACAGTCATGTATGCAGACACACATACATTAGGCATTTGAAAAAGAACATAACTTCTAATGTCCACAATGGCAGATAGACTAGAAGAGTGATCCAATTATTATCAGCACCTTGCAGAATGATCAAGACACAGCAGACACTCATGAAATAGTCAATGAATAAATGAAATTTTTTTTTTTTTAAATCTCAGAGTCCTTTGAGACTCTGCTGACAACTACAAATTCCCTTCGGGGGGGGGGGAGGGGGAAGATAAATGAACACAGGTGCAACACTGCACACAATTTTAGCAACTCAAGCACTAAAAGCCTCTTAACTATTGGTTAAAAGTCCCTGGAAAAAAGAATACACAGGATGGGTTTGTGTATCATACCATCCATACATGAAAAAAAAATTTTTTTTAAGTAGGCAAGAATTCCCTAACTCTATAATAGCATAAATCTGAGCATTCAGTTTGAGTACTAGAACTTCAGAATAATATAACAGAGAAATCATTCTAACATGAGTATGCCTTGGAATCAAGCAGAGTTAACTTAGTGACTGGAAGTATTTGAAGGCTTTATGAGAAGGTAGCTTTATTCAAGTTACAAAACATCTGTTACCCTAAGGTATAGCTATAATATAATTTATTTTAAAAACTGATGGTTTATTTATATATTGTTTATCAACTGCTAGCTATGTTTTACTGTTTGTTATGTTTAAAAACTATTTATGTTTAAATAGCTGAGGATAAGAAAAAAAACAAACAATCACAGGCAAATATACTATGAAACTTTATATTTTAAAAAGTTGTTAGTACCATCCTGTAATCGCAGCTACTGAGGAAGGTTTGAGAAAGAAGGATCACAAGTTCAATGCCAGCCTGGGCAACTTAGTGAGACCAAATCTCAAATAAAAAAATAAAAGAGGCTGAGGGTGTGGATAAGTGGTAGAACACTCCCTAGGTCCAATCCTCAGTACTGTTTAAAGAAAAAGAAAAAATGTCCTTGGTTTAAATTCCAACTGAGACACATGCAATATGTATGACTCATGCATGTTATTTAAATTTCTTCCACAGAAAAGGGTAATCATAGTATATATAACATCACTGAAGTATCTGGAGTTAAATAAAAATGTGCAAAATATCAAAACACATCTTGACTTATTCTTGGTACTTACTAATATTATTTTTTCCTACAATATTTCTATAGCATTTGTCAGTATTTATAATTATAACAATGATCTTATTTCATTGAGAAAAAAGGGGGAAATGCTTACTTATATTCACTGTGTCTTCTGTCTCAACAATCAGTATCTGAAGAGACCTTAATTATGAGGTCTAAGTCATTTATTACAAACATTGGTCTCCTGTGTCTATTTCCTTTATCAGTAGAACAATAAAATTCCCAGCCATCATAAAAAGGAATTTTATGGGGCTATTTACCTCTATTTGATGTTCCAAATTCTATCACCATACTATTGCCATTAAGTTGTAATAGAAAACATTAACTCATTTGCTGATTATATGCCTACACATATTTAAGTAAAGATAAATAAGTTATATTCACATTTAATTTCATCTATAACTAAGAAAATTCTAAACATATTAGTTATCAAGCCTGACATATTTGTCATGAAAACTATTTTCATGAATCAATTTTACCTGTGAATGAGAATCTAAAAATAAATCTTCTTTTTCCGGATAGTTGGATGGCTGACTCCAGGAAGTTGGTTTTATTGGATGTCTGTGATCTCTATCTTTCATTGAAAAATTGTCAGAATGCATTCCAACAACCTTTAAAAATTTTACAAAATATAAAATAGTTATGTCATACACTATTCTCTTAGTTAAAAAAAATCTATTCCTAAGAAAGTAGAACAGAATCAGATAAGGACACATCAACGAAAACTATAGACCAATATCCCTGTGAACTCTGATGCAAAAGTATTTAATGAAATATTAGAAAATCATATTCAACAACATATTAAGAAGATTGTATATTATACCAAGTTCATTTTACATCAGGGATGAAGGACAGTTTAAAGCACACAAATCAATAAAAGTAATTTATCACATCAATTAGAATTAAGGACAAAAACACTTGGTCATCACAATAGATGCAGAGAAAGTTTTCTAACAAAATTCACCATCTATTCATGATAAAAACACTTAAGAAACTAGCTAGCGATAGAAGAAACCTAACATCATAAAGGCTGTCTACAAAAACCCCAAAGCCAATATAATAGAGAATGGGGGGAAAGTGGAAACATTCCTTTAAAATTTGGAATAAGATGTCCACTCTTACCACTCCTATTTAATATAATACTTGAAATTCTAGCAAATTCAGCAAAGTAGCAGGTTACAAAGTCAACACAAAAAAATCAACAGCTTTCTTATATAACAATAATGAGTCTGCTGAGAAAGAAATCAGGGAAAAAAATCTCACAATTGCCTCAAAAAAAAAAAAAGTGCTAAGAACTAGGTGCTGTGGATAATGTAATAAAGGCAGCTTGCTTCCCACCTTCAAGAGGCTTATAATCTTCAGTATCCTCCTGAGATGTTTATAAGCAAGCATGCAAATACATTTTGTAAACGTGTTTTATAAAGTTTCTGGTTATGAAATATACATCTGAATTTAAAAAAAATACCTAGGAATAAATATAACCAGAGATAAAAGACCTCTATAATGAATACTATGGAACACTGAAGAAGGAAGTGAAGAAGACAAAGGAAGATGACAGACCTTCCCATGTTCATGGGTAGGCAAATTTAATATTGTTAAAATGGCCATATTACCAAAAGCAATATACAGAGAGTCAATGAAATTCCAATGACAGTCTTTAAAGAACTAGAAAACAGAGTCCTAAAATTCATTTGGAAGAATAAAAGACCCAGAATAGCCAAAGCAATTCTAAGCCAAAAAAAAAGCAATGCTGGGAGCATTGCAAAACAAGACTTCAAATTATACCACAAAGCTACAGTATCAAAAATTTCATGGTGCTGGCATAAAAAAAGAAATGAAGACCAAAGGAATAGAAGACACAGAGACAGATCCACAAAAATGCTGTCATCTGATCTTTGACAAAAGTGCCAAAAACATACATTGCAAAGAAGACAGCCTTTTTTTTTTTTTTTTTGAGAGAGAGAGAGAGAGAGAGAGAGAGAGAGAGAGAGAATTTTTAATATTTTTTTTAGTTTTCGGTGGACACAACATCTTTATTTTTATGTGGTGCTGAGGATTGAACCCAGCACCCCAGGCAAATGCGTTCACCGCTTGAGCCACATCCCCTGTCCAAGACAGCCTTTTTTAACAAATGATGCTGGGACAATTGAATATCCATATGTACAAGAATGAAACTAGTCCCTTATCTTTCACTCTGAGCGCACACACACACACACACACACACACACACACACACACACACAATTCAAAGTGGATCGAAGATCTAGGAATTAGACCAGAAACTATAAAAGTCCTAGAAGAAAATTTAGGGTCAATATTTCAACATATAGGCACAGGCAACAACTTTCTGGAAGCTCAGGAAATGCTGCCAAGACTTAATTAATGGGATGGCATCAAATTAAAAAGCTTCTGCACAGCAAAGGAAACAATTAAGAATATAAAAATGGAACCTACAGAATGGGAGAAAATCTTTGCTAGCTACTCTCTGACAGAGGAGTAATATCCATAATATATAAAGAACTCAAGACTTGACACCAAAAACAAGTAACTGAACTAATAAATGAACAAGTGAACTAAACAGACATTTCTCAAAAGAAGAATTACAAATGGCCAATAAATACATGAAAAATTGTTCAACATCATTAGCAATTAGGGAAATGCAAATCAAAACCACACTGAGATTTCATCTCACTCATCAGAATGGCAGTCAGCAAGAATACTAATAATAATAAATACTAGAGAGGATGTGGAGAAAAAGGAACACTTTTATGCTGTCTGTAGAACTCTAAATTAGTACAACCACTATAGAAATCAGTATGGAGGTTCCTCAAAAGACTGAAAAGATCATCGTAATATAGTGATACATGCATACCCATGTTTACAGCAGCACAATTCACAATACCCAAACTATGGAACCAGCCCAGGTACACATCACAGATGAGTAGATTAAAATAATGTGGTGTAAACACATTATTTTTAATGAAATTATGTCATCTGCAGGAAAACAGATGGAACCTGAGAACATAATGTTAAATGAAATAAACCAAATTCAGGTTAAGGGTCATATGCTGGGGAAATACTGGGGAATGATACTAGCCAAATTATATTGTTTTACTGTGTGCCTGTAGGAATATATAACAACAAATCCCAACATTGTATACAACTACAGTACACCAATAAAAAAAAGTATGGGAAAAAAAGCAAGCTTAAAAGAAAACTCTCTCTTATGTAGTCAAGAAAAATAAAAAGAAAAAATGATAAAGGAAAAGGTATTGGAAAGATGGTAGTATGCAGCAGCAAAGTTTTTAATATTTCTAAATCCCAGTATTAAAATAGATAGCAAAACCAAAAATCCATCTTTTTCTTTTTGAGTTCAACACTTTTTTAGGTCATCTTTAGTTTTACAGAAAATGAAAACAATAAATGTTATGCATTATATATTAATCCACAAGCAGTTTGACTTCATATATGAATGGCACTCAAGGGCATGGGAAAAGTTCACCTTCTACATTTACAAGGAAATTAAGCTTGGAGGTATCTAGAAAAAAGTCAAACTATTAAGCAGGTAAAGACAGACAACCAACAGCCATTAACACCAATATAGCCACCAGGCAAGGTGATGCACACCTGTAATCTCAGCAACTCAGGAGTCTGAGGCAGGGAGATCACAAGTTCAAGGAGAGCCTCAGCAAATTAGTGAGGCTCTGTCTCAAAATTTTTAAAAAGGGTGGTCTGGGGATGTGGTTCAGTGGTTAAGCACACCTCAGTCCAATCCTCTCAGTACAACAATAAAAATAACATTAAAAAAAAAAAAAAGACCAACACAATAAACATCTGTATGAGAAAAAGCAAAAACAAATAGTGAGGTGTCTGTAAACAGGAGAACCCCAAAACAGTCCGCTGGGGTGGATATGGTGGTACATGCCTTATAATCCCAGCAGCTCAGGGGGCTGAGGCAGGAGGATCATGCATTCAACGCGAGCCTCAGCAATTGAGTGAGAACCTGTTTCAAAAAAAAAAAAAACAAAGGGCTGGGGTTGTAGCTTTGTGGTTTAGTGGTTAAGTGCCCTGGTTGGTTCAATTCCTGGTACAAAAAAAAAAAAAACAAAAAAAAAAACAAAAAAAAACACCACCAATAGAAAGCATGATAGAGATGATAGAGTAATGTGAAAACAGCATCTGAAAATCGGAGGGCTTTTGTCCAACCCAATTAGCATGTGAATGTGAAGAGTTCCCACTGGTGTCTGAAGTGGCTAAAGCTTTGATGAATCTGTGACCACTCAAGGCTGTCTTCTAGGAGAAGGCCCCACATTCAAGAAAAAGTGCTAGGGTTATCAAAATCAAGTGGATCATGTACAACAGAAACAAATGGAAAAGAAAGCCCTATATATCTCATATTTGAATATTAAAATGACATTAGAATTATGTGAAATTGAAAAAGAAATCCTTCTTTTAAAGTGCAGGAAAACAAATTTCACATTAAAAAGCGCAACAGAAAAGAATCAAGATCACATCTCAGACATCAGACCTGCTTAGACACAGAGTAAAATAGCAACCTTTGAAAATGAGCTGAAAAACACTAATAAAATTATTCAAAACATGAAAAACACCATAAATCAAAATCAGAAAACTAAAAAATTGAAAGAAAAACTCAGGGAAAAAATAATGGAAGAGAAAGAAAGAATTTAATGAGTACTAAATTATGCAGAAAACAGAAATAAATATTATGTCCAAACAGAAATAGAAGGCTAAGTAAAATTGTAAAGAGAAATAAGTTAAATAAAATTGTAAATAAGTTAAATAAAATTGTAAATAGAAATAAGAAGTATTCATAAAATGCAACCAATATTGAAGGTAGGTAAGGAAGACCGTAACATATAGATAGAAGTCCCTAAAGAAGAAATACAAAGCAATGGAACAAAATACTGAAAATATAGTTTAAGAAAACTCTTGAATTAAACAAAAAAAAAAATTTAAAGCCATAATTCAAGAAAATATTCCAGAATAAAAAACTATATATTCAAAGAACCCACTGTATTCCTATGTATCTTAAATCAAAACTATCATTATCAAGACATAGAATTCCTCCATTAAGACTAGATCAAGCTTCTGATGTAACAGTAAATAAAATAGACATAATAATAACTATGCATCAACTAATAAAAATAATTCATTATAATTACATTCTTTATCAAAAGCCTCAATGATAAAATGGAAAAGAAGAAGGAATATAATCCAGGTCAATAAAGAAGATGAACTTTAAAACACAAAAGGCTCTGAAAGGAGGCCTCCAAGAGACTACATTAATCAGAGCACCTTTCCATACATGGAGGCTGACAAAAGATGATTTGATGGCTCCCTCACCTCTTAATCTATTCCCCCTGCCTGCCTCAATACCCTTATTCTCCTAAGTGGGGAAAAAAGGCTTAATTAGGCATACCTTTAGGATCCAATAGGCTAAGTATGACTTCCTCCCACCCACCTCCCAAAATCTGTCTCCACTCTCTGTTGGCATCTGTTGCTATTTCAGTGGGAAAAAAACAAAATTGCTAATGTGTGGTTAAAATGGTACTTTACTGTAAAGGTAAAGTAACAAGAAAAAATAAATTACATCTTTTCCTATACTGACAATTAGAAGTTGGGGAAAAATAAGAGGGTCTTAAGCACCTAATAAATGAACCTAGTATAGATTACAAAAATGAAAGGTTGGGCATAGAAGATAAATTTCATTAACTCCACCCAAAATATATTTACTTTAATGTTCCTTTTATAGCTATTCAACTAATTAAATCTCATTAGGTTATCTAGGACATGACTATACACAAGCCTAAGTATAGAATTTCAAAAGACCAGTTACCTTATTTATAAGGTTTTGAGAAAAGTAGGAGTTTGTTTGAAATCCTATAAAGATTACCTTAGAATTAAATTGTAGTCCCTAATCTTGTAATTTAAATATTAATAACCTACTATTACACTAAATTTATCATCTAGGAACTAAAATAATTTTTTAGTGTATTATTAAATGTTCAACAACTTTTATCTTGGACTCATATAATTTTAGACCTGGAAGACACTGAAGGTCAAATTGTATAATTTAGCAATCATTTAAGAGTCACCTTGTCAAAGAATAATTATTCTCTGATCACTTTTTTTATTGATTTGTTAAAAATAAATGACAGCAGAATACATTATAATTTTTCTTACCAACCCCCAAAAGAAACAAATGCCGAATGTTTTCTCTGATATATGATGACTGACTCTTAGTGGGGCAGGGAAGGGGAACATGGGAGGAATAAATGAACTCTGATCACTTTTTTATCCCATATAACACATCAAGCAATAATTTTCAAAGCATTTGATTTTAATACAATATACTACCTAAAATAATACTAAATTTGTAAATTTCTCTCATCATGCATAAACACTTTATGATATGCTCAGAACTGTGAACAAAATTATCCTTTCATATTCAATGTAATAGTAACAGCATGATGAATGACAAAATGATATATAAAAAAGCTTGGGGGATATTTATAATAGAATTTGCTTTCTTTTTCTTTTCATTAACTATATAAATTGCCATATGCTTAAATCCATTATCTACACCACTGAAATAAAAAAACAATTTCCCAGGTATAAGGTCAAACTGCTACAAATTAAGCTGATATAATATATAATCAACTAAATAGAAGGGAGATCAGTGGAGGAAGGGGATTGAGAGGGAGGGAGGAGCTGACCAAACTTTCCTGTGCACATACATGAATGAACCAAAGTTAATTTCATTTTTTATGTATATCCATAATTGACTAATTTTAAAAAATCATAAGTAAACAAACAGAAGAACAATCAGTAGAGTTGAGGAAAGGGAATAGAGGGAGGAAGAAGGGGAACCCATAAAGGGAGGAAGAAGGGGCAGGAAAGGGGAAGTACTGGAGACTAAATTGGAGCAGATTATATTCCATGCTTGTATAATTATGTCTAAACGAACCCCAATATTATATTTATACTGAGTTAATAAAAGAAAGTACAGATCATTCTAGTATTAGAACATGCAAACTGAATAAGCTCTTTATGAAAATTCTACATATAATTAACACCTTAATACTGGTGCTTACTTCTTCCTTGTTTCTCTTAGAACTCAAACAGATCTCTTCAGAGTTGGGAAAACATCTCTTTTTGTTGGAATCACACGAAGGCTGGAATAACGGTCTGCTGTCATGATTATTTTCAAGGATCTCAATTGCCATGTGGATAAGATATGTGTCGATGTTTTCTGGAACTAACATTCTAATTAGTTTAATTTTATTCATATCTGTAAAAGATGAAAAAAACAATTTTAAAACAAATTGTGCAGAATACTTTAGAAAAACCTATGAGCTGGATACAGTGAAATATTTTATAGAAAGGAAGGAGGAAGATTACCCAAGAAAAATTTCCTCTTTCACATGCTTATAGCCCTACAAAAATGATAATGGACTACAAACATGTCCCCCTCACTCCTGCATCCCCTCAATCCACCTGGCACCAGTATAGGTCAGTACTTTTGACTCTGAATAAACTTATGTTTCACACTGCCTTTTGTAGATCTCCCTGAGAATCAATCCAAGCATTTAGAGAAATGTTCCTACAGGAAACTGCTTTGAATTACAAATATCCATTACAAATTAATATATCTTTAAAATAATTTATTCTTAAAATAGGAGCTAATCATATTTGTAATATACTAATAAAAAGAATCCTTTCAATGGGTATTATAGCATAACAAAACACATCAATTGTTCAAAATGTTTATTAACTAGATGAGCTTTCTGGGAAACATATGATGCATATTCAAAAATCAAGGAACTTTGAATTTTTTGAATCCAACAGAACTAATTCAGACTGGATCTTCTACACACCTTCTACAAATTATGTAGCAATCTCTTACAAACAAACCACTAGGCATGTTTCAAGCACTTCCTTCAACATCATATTCATCTGCATGCTCTAGAACATAACAAAAATAAGCAGCATAGAATCTACTCACTCATATTCATGTGACTTATAAAACACATCAAACATTCTAACAATTCAATTTAGTAGTCAGAAACCAAGTCGTTTTTTAATGCCCACCCTGAAAAAATGGTTTCATATTATTACAGTTTTCAGATTTACATCTTTTTTCTTCCAAAGATCTTAGCTCACTATTCCAGGCCTTCTCCCATACACTCCACTTTGATTAAAAAAAAAAAAAAAAAAAAAAAAAAAAAAAAAAAAAAAAAAAAAAAAAAAAAAACAAAAAAACAAAAAAACAGAAAGAGAAAGTTAAGAAGCTTATTAAAATTAGGACACTGGGTTATCTAAGTATTTTTAAAGTTTTTAAGACTGGTACTAAGCATACTCTTAGAAAAGGAAAATCGCCTCTAGTTGCCATATCTACCAACTAAACTAAAATTTTATTTGTTCCTTGATCATTATCCAATTCTAATATACCATGGAATCCTCACAAATTTTATTACTTCATCATTTTTTAATGACTGAAGAATGTTTAGTTCTATGTGTATGTCAGAATTTACTTTTTGAGTTCCCTTTGTCTTCTCTGTTTTTTAAAAATCAGCATTATGATGAATATCATATTATGTGTATCTTTCCATACTTATAGATTCCTAGGAGACAGATTGATAGTTCAAGGGTTAGACACCTTTTATATTTTGATGTATATGGGCAAATTGTTTCCAGACAGTAACTAATAACCTACATGTTGCTATAGAGCAAGTGAAATGTGGCTGGTATGAATAAAAAATGAATTCTTAAATATAACTTACTCTAATTAATTTAAAATTAAATTTAAAACTGGTATTTGATTCTTTTATTGGAAAACTTAAGCATTTTGGAGCAATTTGATTATGCCAATCTACTTGTTAAGATGTAAATTTTATGAAATCTAAATATACCTACAGTATTTATACTTAAATGTTAGCATCAGAAGATATGCTATAAGTGTAAAATATCTGATTTCAAAGGTTTTTACAGAAAAAGAGAAATATCATTAGTAATTTTATATTGATTAAATGTTGAAATAATAAAATTTTAGTATATTAAGTAAATTAAATTGGTAGCTAATATCATATTTCTATTGAATTACAGACTATAAATATACTATCAAAACAAATAAAAGTCAGAATTTATGGTTATCACAACCTTCTTAACTTTCTCCATTTTGGCTCTGGAAGGAAAGTAGGCCAAAAAAATATACTTTTTTATATAATGTATGCAACCTGCACACATATATTGACAGAAAGCTAAAATATGTGCTTAATAAGTCAAAAATTCTCCGCTACTCTTTTCAATTTCAATTTGATATTTATCTCCAAATAGAAATTTATTTAATGCTATACTCTGCATATAATGGTAAAGACAAATATTTTATTAATGTTTTAGTCATTAATTATTGCAAAATACTTTTCTCATCTCCCTAATATTTGTTGAAATCAAGCTGTTCAATTATAAGAATGTTTCATGCTTACATATTGATTTCAATATTGTTTAATTTAAAAAGTTATCCAACATCAGAAACTAAAATTGCTAAACTTATTAAACAAAACATTATCAAGCTAATTTATTTTACTTATCAAGTTAGAAGTTTATAAACCTGAATCCTATATAAGACTTATAAATTGCATATTTCCTTCTTTTAAGTTAACTGGCAGTACAACTTAAACATGGTTTAATAAAAAGAAAAACTTGGTGGTCGATCCAACATGGCAGCAGGCGCAGAGAGATCAAGTCTCTGACCTCTCCTGCTGCGCGGGCATAGGGAGTCGTAAACTGTCTAAATGCTGTTAGCTCAGGATCACTAGGCAATGCTGAGCTGACGTGGATCTGGGGCCAATAGTTTGGGCCTCTCAGAACACACACCGAGCCCGGATCGGCTGCATTCAAGCTCCGGTTCGCCTGCTTCTCGTGACTCAGCACTAACGATCCGCTGAAATAACTGGTCGGCTCTTCTAAACTTACAGAGGTAAAAGCCAACCGAGCCTTCATAGGCAGTGGCCACAGATTAAAACAGGGCTTGGGAGAGACAGTCAGGACCCACCCGTTGCATAGGTTACCTTGCAAAGGGAACGAACAGTCACCTTTTGCATGGGATACCACCATGGCAGAGAACTAACGTCATGGGAGGAGGAGATAACTTCACTGAAACCAGAGGCTACCGGAGTGCAAGCAGAGTGGCTACCGGAGGGCAAGCAAATTCGCTGGGGGTTCTCAGCCCCAAGCTCTACAAACTTAGGGTCTGAGGGAGGCAAACAGGGAGAGTGTGCCCAGGCGTTCATGAAAACAGGGCTCCCAGGAGCAATAGACCTGGCGTGTAGCCAGTATTGTGGTGAGCGTCACAGGTGAGCGGGGCCTGGTTCGAGGAAACACAAGAGATGGCCCAAGACACTCAGGATTGGAGACCCGCAGAGTCTGGGAGGAAGAGCTGCTGCACAGTGACTGGTTCCCACCTATTGAGAGGAGAAGCTTGGCCCAGTGGGTACAGCTCCACCTCCTGGAAGAGAAGTTAATCAAACTCTATGACTGCATTTATTATTATTATTATTATTTTTTAATTTGGGTTTCTTTTCCTTTCATTTTCATTTTTGTTGTTGTTGTACTTTAACTTTTTTTTAATGTTTTTAATTTTTTTCTATTTTATTATTATTATTTTTTATTTTAATTTTCATTTTTTTATTATTATTTTTTTAAATTTCTTTCTTTATTTATTTTCTATTTTTTTCTTTTGTCTTTTCATTTCTTTTCAATTTTCTTATTCTCCCTTCCTTGAATTATACCTGCCTACTCTCATTCTCTTTAGTGACTTCTTCCCTTCCCTTCTAATATCTTTCCTCCCAAGCATCAAATAAATTTATAAGAGTAAACAGTAACTCAGCAGTCAAACAGAACAAGAAGTAACATGAGCAGCATAAAAAAGCAAGGAAGAAAAGGAGTACAAACAATGAAGGACAGCCTAAATATTCAGGAGGACCTAGAGCCATCAGAAAAATGGTCATATAAAGAACTCAAGGAATACCTTAGACAGATGGAATGGAACCTTAAAGAGGATACGAGATAGCAAATCCAAACAGTAAAAGAACACACTGAAAATGAATTACATAAACAGATAAAAGAAGAAGTTAAGCATCCTTATCAGGAGAGAGAGATTATAAAAAAAATCAAACAATAATTCTAGAAATGAAGGAAACGATAAACCAAATTAAAAACTCAATTGAGAGTATCACTAACAGAGTGGAGCAAGTAGAAGCCAGAAC